TCTTGTCCTTTATGATTGATAATTGACATAAATAAAATTTTTCTAAGAGCTTCAGAATTTACAAACGGTTTCAACCAAGATAAAGAATTGGCATAAATTTGTGAAGTGTAACGTATAAAAGTTTGTTACATAAAGAAAACAGGTATCACATTCTTCAAAGGTCCAAACATTTAATTAACGTTAAATAGAAAAAAAGCATTTAAGGATGTCGAAAATCTGAGACGATAAGAAATGATATAAACCCATTATCTCAATGAAAGGTAAAAATAGAATAACTTAATTTTTTGTGTGGGCTACTAAAAACTTAATTTTAGATGATCACTTGCCTTTTTTCAATGGTTTATTTTACCCTTAATGCTCTGTCTGGCTGTATTTCGTTTTGAAACTTAGATCTGAAGAATGGGCATTGTTAACTAGATGATCATATAAAAGAAGAAAGATAGAACACACAGACACACACACACACAGACATATATATATATAGCTAGTAACAGACACTGCAGGTTTGTTAACCTGCTACTTGAATTAGACAATTCTTTATAAACTTTTGAAAAATTAATGAGGTGTATTTTAGAAAGATTATTTTTCACATATACACAGCTCATGGAAAACTTTCAGCAATGCTGGAAAGAAGCTTAAGCAAATTTTATAATGTTTACATTATCTTACTGTCTTATGAGATTATTTTCTAACATAATCCATCCTTTTTCAAGATGATATTGAAACCACATAACCCCTAATAGATGGAATTTAGTATTCATTGCTCTCGAAAAAGCCTTACCTAAAATACGTTGTTAGGAATGTCTAGTATTAGGTTAAACAAATATTCTAGAGATTTTAAAATGAGTTATTTTTCTTGAGTACGGGTATAATTTGGCTTATGATCCTGAGGGTTTATATAGGAGAGATTATGGTACTGTTAGTATAGTCATATTTATAAAAATAGCTAAAAACACGAGTATCCAACAGCCAAAATATATGACTTGAGAACTGGTAATAGACACATAAACCATTATGATTATAATTACACTATCATTGTGTTTGACGTAGCTTATCATAGCCTTAATTTCTTGGGATATTTAATCATACAGAGCTCAAATATAATTATTATAGATTTATCTATAGTAATTAATTTTGTTTAGTTATTAATTAATATTAACTTGAATATTTTCCCTACTAAATATTAATTCAGTTTTTCGTGGCGACTTATACACTGGCACAAATGGTGTATTATTTTCATAATAATTATTATTCCTTTTGGTCATTATATTTCTGTCTGTGTATACATATTTCTCACAAAATCTTATCCTCCAAAGAGTGAAAAATAAATTCCTGATAATTATTTTATTCCTTCAACAGTGATAATTTTAGAAATTAATTAATTCAACTTTAATTGGAATATTATCAGAAATCATTACTTTTTTCAGATGCAAAATTTCCACCTTTATTAAAATAACCCACATTTGTAAAATACATTTACTCAGAAAAGTATTAAATCTTCCAAACGAACAAATTTTATTTTGAAGCTATATGAATAAAGATAACTTACTTTTTGCTAATTACAGACAAAATAACTGAAACTTGATATGCAAAAAATATGCCAACTAGAATAATTGTGGATTAAAAGCCAGGATGTTTAAATACCAAAAATGTATACTATGAATTAGATGAAAGTGAACATTTCTGAAAGTGACAAAACATTTATGATAATCTGTTTAATCCAAAGATGATTATAAATTACTTTGACGATGCATAGTTAAGATAACTGTGAGCGCCATTAACTAAGTAAAACGTTAAAAGCTAGTTGCCAAAGCTTGTTGGAGAAGAAAGTTTCAAGAAATCTGAATCTTATTCATTTATGATATGAGTAGATTTTTTCTTTGACCACCTAAGTTCGTATAACATGTGAAACAAATAGAATATATTTTCAACACAAGAAATGACTACAGGAAAATTTAATAAACACTAGGTTTATACTTGTATGCTCATACAGAAGTTGAACCCTATAAGCTCTGTAAACAAAGCTGAAAATGCAGTGCAAAAATCTTTGTTTGGTATAATAAAGACGGTACGTAATTAGAATTAGATACATATATATTTTTATGTATAGAATTTTCTATTAGGTTTTTTGGAGAGAGATGGCTCACAGCAGACTTCTGATAGGACCTGAAGACTTACTAAAACGCTTAGACATTTGCTGTACTTACTTTCACAGTACTTCCTATACACAAAGCAGAAGTTCCACTTCTTCCCGAGAAACGAAAACAAGTATCACAGTAAAACTTTTACACTAACGTTTAGTCTCCTCAAATTGTTGAACTTTAACACAGAGATAAGACGATATGGTAGCCATTAAACGCTAGGCTCGCACTAAACTTCACGAACAGAATAAGAAATCTTTATTGTCTATCAATCTCACACGTTATCTAATCTTCCGAGTGATCCTGTATGCAATCTCTTTCCAATCACTACTTACCCAATCACTATTAAATTTGTTGACAAGTTTACCTATATAAACTCATGTTTTTTAACACAGATTGTTTTTTCTCAATAATCTCGACCAGAAAGCGTTATTCTCGCGTTTATAAGATCCAAGCTTAATATTTAAAGCAAGTTAGACAAAGACTATAATCATAAACTATATAGTAATAATGCCTGCCGTCCAATAAAATATTGATATTCATTAGTATTACAAAACAGCACTATATTTTATAACATTATTAGAAGAATAACATTTTGGAAAGCATTTTACTGTTTAAAGTATGCCTTGCCATATTCCAATAAAATTACGTTAAAGCCTAAGTGGTGGGTTAAACGTTAGAAACACTGCGCTTTTAAATATAAGACCTTCAGAACATAAGATATGCAATTACTTCTATTTTGTATTAGATTTATTTTTTAAATATGGATACCTTTCTAATAGAATTGATTACTAAAATGTCTATGGAAAAATGTGTATGTTATACAACGCGTGTTACAGCCCTTTTAAAAATACAATAGAAAATTATTTAAATTCAGCAAATATAGTTGAAGAATTTATCATCGTTTCAAATCATTAAACAGTGAAAATTGTACAATGTGCACGTATAAATGTGAGATAGATATAATAAGTTTGATATTATATTTATATGAAATAATATATATATGATATTTTTGTAAATATATTATATTATTTTAACACATTTAAAATGGTTTAAATATTTAATTTTTCCTGGTATTTCAGTACACGCTTATGAGATGAGACGTATATTTTTTGTATAAGTAGTATCCGATTTATGACGCATACTCCAAGAATAATCATAGTTTTTGAAGCAATATTTCTTTTTTTGAGAAACACCGAAGGGAAACTTCAAACGCAAATACATGTTATTGCACTTTTAATACACATTTTAAAATCTTAATTGTACTTTTAAACCATCACTGGGTCGTAAAATCTACACACTTTTACAGATTTGGAAACGTATTCATGAAATGAAGCTTGAAGAGATCGTATAAGTTAATGGTAAACACACGGAAATTCGGTTACTGGAATATATGTTATTAGAATGAATTAAGCTCTTTAATTTTTATAACAGAACGTACCGCATGTTTTCCTGTCTCCCCAAGCATAATTTTAACGATAATTAACTGTCATTTGGAATACCGATAGATGTGATTTCCTTATGTTTCATGTTTTTTGCTGGATCCTTTAGTTTTTGAATCATTTTCTATTTACATGTCTGTTTTCGCCCTTTTAAGCGATTTTAGAACAACACGATTTGCTATCCAAATAAAAGTAAACAATTTTTTAATAAAAACCTATATATATAAATATATATATATTTTCATTCTACAATGAATATTGTAGAAACTACATACACATAATTGAGTCTTACGGTTGCCCAATCACGTGAAGACAGAAGCGACTGCAAACAATGTTAACGACAGTGGCCAAGTTGGTCTCCTGCCGAACTACACTTTATTACATAGTGATTTACGGTACTTGGTTTCTAAAGTAAAACTCTTTATGACTTCATGTTATTACAATACAAATTTTATTTATGGGACAAAATCCAGCAAATCCGATCGGCCCCAGCTGACCAGAGTGTTCGGAGGGACAGATTTCTTATATAAATCATCACTGGGCTGGAGCTAAACCACAGGGAAGGTTAAGCTACATGGCTACAAATGTCCAGACATGATCAACTTTGGCCCTAAATCAAAACTGGTAAATTTAATCTCGCCAGCGAACAAAGTTTCACCCTATTAATCTTTAATAGTGCTAAGGAATTAGATCTCTTGTTTCCACTTTTTTTGCTAGTTAAATACTGCTGAAAGTTTTACCATAACATTCGAAAACTAGATCTTATTTACCGTAGTTACAATCCGAATCCAATAGAACAGCATCACTCAAACAAGTTCAGTGACTTTTATGGTAAAATTATGACGAAACACCGGTAAAGGATTAAATATAATATTAAGTATTCCTATCTTAATTTAGGCTATCCATGTTGTTATTTTAAAAAGTGTATATTAGCATCAGAACTAACTATTCTGTTTGGGCTGTAATCGATAAAGCCTTTTGCTTACTAACACAATTCATTAGGTCAGTAAAGTCGCATAATATAAAGTTTTACTTGAAATACTGAGTTAATCAGTAGTTTAAGATAAACTGTAATGAGAACAACGCGACTCAACTAAGACTTCGTGACTTAATGACTGAACCGGACTGAAAACTGTTATTGGGCGAAATGGAGCAGCCGGTAGTGGTGTTCAAAACGTAAAGTTTCGTTGGAATGATATCATACACTCTTCTTGCAGGGCATTAGTATACATAAGGAAAACAAACACACAGGATATGTTAAAGAACTTCTGAGAAACGTTCTCAAAACACACACAAGAAAATACCTTGAAGTTAAACATAAGTTTTAGTGTGGTGCTCTATCACAAATGTTACTTTTAAATGAATCTTGAGTTATCAACTAATATCAATCCGATATCACTAAACTATCTTTATTTACCGATCTTTTCTGAACCCCACTTCGATACATAGTCGAACGACTTAACGTAGAATTCAGTTTCCCCATCAGTCCACAGTTCTCACAAAGGTAGTGGCCTGTGATGTCCCGCCGCCATCCAGGTGACGCAATCAGGCTGCCACAGTTCACGCACTCCTTACTGTCAGAGTAACAGTCCACAAGATCTGTAAAAAAGAAATACATAACTATGTAATCGTTCTCGGTGTGTATGCACTTTAAAGAAGTTGGTAATATTCAGAACACTGCAAGAACTCCTCGTCAATATTTTAAAGTCGAGGCACACGATTATTAACAAGTTCTTCCCCGTTGATTTGTGTAAACACAGTTACTTATTCTAAATAAACATTTTTAAAAACGCAGCATAGCTTTCCCATTTCCACTAACAAACTAGTGAGAACCTGAAAACTACATAATTAGAAATATTCTGTATTAGTTTGCATTTTACAAGACAAATATATCTAGAAAATAACTGCTATGTTTGCTTTGAATATTTCATTGTTTCAGTAGGACATATGATGGTTAGTCATAACCTTCCGCCAAGCACGATATTGCAAAGCTTAGAATGATTATTCTTATAATATAATATCCTTCTGATTTTTCTATAAAAATGTTCTGAACCAGAAAATGACTGAAGTTGACTTGATTGACTTGAAACTTTTTGAGAAACTGGTAGAATTTATAGCTAGTACACCATTTCGAAAATAGTGAAATTTATCGCACATGTATTTAAAAGTGTAAGTAGTTTATTCATAAGTAAGGTGTAGAAGATATGATTATAATATAACATCCTTCTGATTATTCTATACAAATTTTCTGAGACAGTAATTCTTATACCTCACAGTGTACAGAAATAGCTAAATCTTATAATTAATTTTATGAATTCTAAAACGAATCTATAGATATTTTTTGATATTCCCATTTTCTGTAGCAAGGAAAACAGAACGTCACTTTTCCGTGTCTTCAGTTGGATTTTTGAACACGCTATTCGAGAGTCTTTTGGAATATTTCTATATTAGTATTGATGTCCAAGTGCTCGTATAAAAGTCGGTAATTATATATTCATGAAAAAATATGTTTGATGATGAAGAGATGCGAAGCAGAATCATTAGGTTAAATCATGTGTTAAATAATTCGCATTTCAAGTGTTTCGGTGTATTTCTCTAGCATCAAGTTATTTCGGGAAATTTTAGTACTGAACAATTCGATTCTATACAAAATGACTTTTTAGTATGAGGCAAAAAACCCTGGCCAATTTGTATGTGAGATATATTAAAACAAGAAGCTCCAGTTATTCCATTCTTTATTCTTGTCAAAAAGCAAAAATGAATCGCTAGTTACAAGTACATTACAAAACAATGGTTCTAATAAAGACATTCTTTGAAATGAGCAAGGCTGGACGTTTTCTACAAGGATCGTGCTGGAATGTGGATCCGTGGGTCCGTGTCCCATTGACGCAAAATTGCGCTTGGAACTTTGGGGTCATGAGTGCGTTATAAAAGTGGCGGTCAAATCCTGCTATTCGGTTACAGTAGTTCAAAAGTTGCCTGTGTCGTCTGCTGTTGACTAATTGTTTTCCCTCTAGTCTATCACTCAAAATGAGAGATGGCTTGAGTAGCATTATGCGAAATTTAACAAAACAAATAATCTACAGTTTGTCATTTGACAATTATGACAGCTGGAGTAAATAGTCCTTGCATGGCTTTAGGTGAATATCCGAAACAAACAAACTCGAAATGAGTAACGAAGATTTATTACTTATTAAAGATAATTTACATCGTCACAGGAAATCTCTATTAAACAATTCACAAATCCCACGTGGGAAGTAAATCAACTCACACAAGCGAAAAATATACGTTTCATGACCATTTACATAAGATAATCCTGTAAGTAAACAACTGTTTAAAGCAGTGAGATGACCTTTCGCTTCACTTGATGGACTTGAAACTTTCTGAGAAACCTGGTAAAATTCATAGCTAGTACACCATTCCAGGAATAGTGGAATTTATCACTCAGATATTTAAGAGTATCAGTAGTTTCTTTATAAATAAGGTGTAGAAGATATGTTACGCATATAAGTCATAAGGTAAAAGGAAAAAGCAATTCGCAAATGTAACAGCTTCCGAAAGACATAAAGTATTTAAAGGCAATATTTTTGCAAGCGTAAGCTAAAGTTTTAAATAGCTTCAATTCAATTTTTATAATCATTGTGCAAAATGTATGTATATATTACTATGGGTTCACTTCACAAGCACACAGTAACTTTGGTCAGGATCAATGATAATCTAACCCATACATTTTAGTTTTCGTTTGCGTTTTAACACCTGCCACACGAGCCAGCCCAACATCTTTTAGTATTAAGCCTAGGATGGTCATTCCAGACACCGGTTATTTAGGGTCATTTCGATGAATGAAGCCCGGTACAACTTTTAGAACGGAAAAAAACTAATTGTAAATGAAAATATGACATGATGAAATATATATGGATTATACTATGATGGTACCATAAGAGGCATTATACCATTTTTCTTATAATTACTCTTCATTGCAGAAATGACATTTTTAATTTGAGAATCACTTGGAAAATCATCTTGTAATGCATCGTGCATCTGCTTCAACTTCAACACTGCATCTATTGACTTTAGTGTGCCGTTCGCTTCACAAAATATTGAAATTAATGATTTCTTAGATCTTCTTATACATGATTCCAGTCGACATTTTTTTAAGATAATGATACTATTGTGCCCGTTTTTTTATGTTTCGCTGTCAATTATCGAATCTTCGATTCAGCTGGAATGTCATATCAGTTAGGATATTTCCGAATAAGTTCTTCCCTCATCCGACTTGGACCCACTCTTTAACTTAATCGCTAAACGTAAACCATCACATTCACAAACACATCTAGAACATTTCAAGCATGTTTCATTCCTACATCGTTTAACTTTACATTTACAAGTTAACTTCTCCACGTTGCTTCTCATGGTCTCGGGTCTGGTCCAGCGACCTAGACCTCGAAAATAGTGCCAAACGTCTTCTTTTTATCTTATAAATACAACACAAACCTTTCCGGAATTACTCTTTTTTTTTTTATCCACATCAAAATACCGGGCTGTCTCGTGTAGCAGGTGTTAATATCAATGCAACTAAAAGAAACTGATTTGAAATTTAGGATAATCCATAAATGATCTTTTTCTAATAGTATCGTAATTATAAATATCCAGCAAAAACTAATCTAAGCTGTGTCCACAGTGTGTTCGACCATTTAGCAATAATTTGAGTGCTTTTTTCTGTTCTTTCGAAAAAAAATCAATACTGTATCTTCCAGATACAAACGTATTGCAACTTCATATTCATACCTAAGAAACAGTATAACTTAGACAGATATCTTTTAATTCGTTTGTAAAACTTTTTAGAATCATTTCAGTAATTCGCTTTCATAAACATGAAGAGAATATTCCCCCCAAAGCGTTTTTATGTCTTATACATTAACATGTAGATCGCAGTTTATTTTATCTTAAGGTTTATTTCCTGCAAACCTAAGTTCTAAATTTCATTAATTTTTTAATCATTCTTAAGGTAGTTGAGCAATAAATATTATATCACTTTCAATATATATATAAACTTAGAGCTAAGGTTATCTTATAATTTTTTCTTCCTTTTTATTGGTTCATTTCCTCTTTAATAAATTTTTCAAAGCATATTAGCGTACGTATTTTATCTTTAAACTGAGAGCCTAACTGAAAAAGTTATCACTGTAAAACTAAACATGTTGAATTGTCCTCAGCTTTGGACATTTTAGGAAAACACAAGCATCGCTCATTTGAAGCTGTCTGGTATTGAACTTAATAAACTACCTTGTTCTAAAAAAAAAAAAAATTAGTGCATCTATTACAGCCAAGCCCGAAAACGTAGGAACATCTTGCATTACCAGTTAAGATTACAAACTGATTCGTAATATTTATAGCATTAGTTTTAAGTTTAGTATACCATGATAACAAATGTTAATAATAAAACTGCAAAACAGCAACCATTTGTATATGTTTTTGTTTGTTTGTCAGTATTTCTATTTGCATGTATTTTACTTCCTTTTGGCTGTTTATGTCTGTAGCTATGCCAGTATATATTCAGTGAATTATAATCGGACAACTAGAGTATTATTTAGACAGTATTTATCTGATAACAAACAAGTTTGTCAGCTAAACGACAGATTATGCTGTCTATTATTGTTTATTTAGTAAGGATTCAGTTTTTATCAAAGCATGTCATTGAATGTAATAATCTCGTTTGAAGCAGCAGCTAATATTCCATCTAACCTAAAGCTTGTCTGACAACATTATTTTTAGACATATAAAATCACATAATTATAAATACAAAATACCTTCTTAGTATCTTAACTGAAGTAGATTATTCCTATTTATCAACTACATATATGTATAACTGATTTTTAACGTCATTAACCTATTCTTCTCGTGCTCACCAAGACAAGTTGAATCAGATTACATTTTTTAAAATAATGGTTTTTCAGCAATTACTTCGTTATTGTTAAGCATTTACACACTATATTTCTTTGTTTAACTTTCGTCTATATTTAATATGTCCACATGTTAATTGGATGCTATTAAGTATGTTTCAGGTGATTCAAAACACAACCTTGAACTAGGATTGTATGTAAAAACCTTTCTTTTTTAGGACTGAATGTTTAACTTTTGCGAATGATATCTGTTTCTGTGCTGTGTAAAAATTAATTTATTGATCTGGTATATCGACCAACAATTGCAGTTTTTATTTTGCAGAAGTCTGCACAATTAATAAAATAGTGTATGTATATATGATCTTCCATGCTTGTAGCACTTTTCTTTATCATTCATCATAAATGTAACTTGGAAAAATATATGCTTGCTTGATACTTAGAAATAAATTGTACCTTGTTAATTAGGCTGCAAAATCAGATAGAATCAACTATTATATTTTGTTACACCAAATTACCTTGGAGTACGAACGAATATCACTGAAGCCAGGATCTGAATATCGAGTAGGATTCTCCAAGAGCTAGAAAAAAAGCTGTTGTTTGTGTTTGAGGTACGAAAATGGTATATATATGAACTAAATTCACACTTTCTTTAAACGGATCCTAATATTGCTTAACACGTGTACATTATTTTGCATA